TGTGTTCCAGTTCTCAGAGATGGCTTGGAAGAGCCAGGAAGTAAGCAGCTCTTGCAATCCAAGCTAGGTAAGAAATGTGTCAGCAGCGTGACATTACCTGTAAGCACTGCAAGCAATACAGGCACTACCTTGGCTATGATATGTGAATACAGATCTTCAACCTCAGGTACAAGGTGTTTCCTTAAGACTGGCTACATATTTGGTGACCGTGTGAGACCTTTAGTCACACAAACTAGCTTGTATTCAAGACTTGAATTGATAAAACTCTTTTTTGAAGGATAAAACCTTTTTGAAGGACTGAAACCAATCCTGTTAAACAAAAACAGAACAAAACCATTACTAGTAGTATATACACTAAAATGAGCTTATATGATAACAACCGAATTGCCAGGCTTGAACAAAAAATGAGACTGATTGCTGGCAATGGGTAAGGAGTATTTCAGTAAGCTCTCGAAAAATGGCATTTGAGGAAAGCAGCAATACATGGTTACAAATAAGACTGCTTTAAAAATGATTAGTAAATATGTGGGAAGAGATGATAGTCATTACTTTGATGGAAAAGGTAGAAGCTGTATAAAATGAGTAAGGGCATAAAATGACTCACAGTCAACATTTTACAGCTATCAAAGTTTAAAGAAGGTAAAGTAGTATTTTTAATAGCATACAAGGAGCAGAAGTAGCCTCGGCGATGACTGAATGAAAATGAAGAAGTTGGTAATAACACAGAAAGGCAGAACCACTCATGAGATCTTTCAATATGCTCACAGAAAAACATCCATGGTGCACATTGCATTATGTAATGGTAACCAAGTATTTGCCTTCAAATCACTAACCCTTCTTTACACAAATGGCTGAAGAAATTGGACTAGAGGGTCTGTATGTTCATCTTTATGGTGACCCAGCTGAACAGGCAATGCATTTGAGATTTGTACCTCTCACTGGCTAAGAAAAGTGAGCTCAGAATCAGTGTCTGAATTCATGCAGTAAAGGTAAGAGGGAAAGTAAATCAATCAGCGACAGCCTATGGCATTATTCAGGCTGCAGCAAGTTTTAAGGCAGCAGAGATAAAAAAATATACAGTACCTGCAGATGTGCCTTGCAATCACATCGTAATATGCCAATCACACATAAATTTCTCCTGCAGGTTGATAGCAGGCTCTCCTTTCCGTCCTCTGTACGTTACCTCCAATGGTGAAGACTGTGCCAAAAGTGTTTAGCAGTACAAAGTGTATGGCAGCAGTGGCAGCTTACTTGGAAGAGGAGGATATAGCAGCGCACAGACACTGCTGAGTTGATTTTTCAGTGAGGTGAAGTAACAAAGGAAAATACGAGTTCTGATTTTGGTGGTATGCTCATTTCATTCACTAATGTCAACAAATTAACAGCATAAAAAATAATGAAAAGGCTGTATTTCTGCAGCGCAAGCAGCATCTCAAACCCTGCATTTCACAGATATCACAGAAAGAAGAATAAATCTTTGCATACTCATGTGTAAAGCTAATCTGTGTTATTTTCAGTAACCTCCTTGGCAATGTTTAGGGATAATTTTCTTCCTTTTATTCAAGGTAGACAGCCTTGTGCCCTTCCTAAAGGCCACTCTTAAGTTTAATTCACATAAAACAGGTATTGCAAGTGTCATTTCACTACTTTCCTCTCCTCTTAAATCTGAAGAGGTAAATGGAGGACCTGGGAAAGGTGAGAGAGGATGTTTCTTTGCAGCACATGCTGGGTGTCCACTGTAGCTGAGTGGTTAAGGTGTTTACAGTGAAAGATTTTCTGTCTTCTAGGGTATGTATGTCTCATATGGATAGCTACTGAGAACAGCATCAGGTGACGGGTGGACTTAAACACCCTCTCCTAGGTCCCTTTCAGCCTGAATTCACAGCCTGGTAGGAGTGGAGCTTGCAGACATGGGCTCCAGCTTTGAGCTGCCTTTGCTTGTCCACACTCCTCCATGCACGTGGAGATGATCCATTGCCACTTAATCTAACGGTACCTTTTTTGCAGACACCACAAAGAATAATATGATTCTTCATATAATTTCAGCCAAGCAAAGAGCAAATAAAAACTGAGAAATATGACATACATGAAATGCATTTTTGATGTATTGTGTCTCTGAAAAGGAAAGGGGAGGACGCAGGAGGACACACAGGGAAAGGGAGGGCTAGAGTTACGGTATGGTAGAAGTAGTAAACACTGGAAGGAAAGCTTATGGTGGAGACATGGTGACCGAAAGCTCCTGAAAGTTTCTTGGGAATGTCCAGACCCAGAGTTCATTAGATTTGGGCAGTGTCCAAGAAGAAGAGACATGATACTACAAAGGGCGACAGATAACAAGCATAGTCATGCAGTTCTTGCTGTGTGGAAAGGATGCCCCCATACTCTGCCCTGAAATTATATAAGTTTAAAAAGTTCTCCTGCAATTAGAGGTATTTGGCTTTCAAAGAGACAAGGCACGTGGTTGTGCTGTGAGACCAGAGGGAGCAATAAGAAGCAGTGAAAGCAGGTGGTGGTGGTGGAACTTGGCCCGGCTATTGGCAGGATAGCCTTGTTCCCGAGATCTAACAATGCATTTCCTAATTTGCCTCCTTTTTAATTCATGTTTGCCTCCTTTTAGTCCCCTGCTTTTAAGACTGCTACATGTCTGTATAAATTGTGGTAAGACATGAGAATCCTTCCATGTGCTGCAAGAGGACTACAGTTTGTCTCATGGAATGTGTCTTGCATGCAGGAAGGACTGTTGGAACTCTAAAATTATCAGTGTTTAAAGAATTGTTTGCCACATCCTCCATAGGTACAGACCAACACCTGCAGAATCCAGCCTGTTTCCTTTACCATAAAACTCAGCCACATCTACACTGATTTAAAATGTGTTTTGCAGGAGTGCTTAGAAAAGCGGATGCATGGGAGCATGTTCCCCACTTCTCCATTCATCCACTACTATGATGACGACTGCGATATCAAGAGGAGAGCAAACAGATTAAAAAGAAAGATTGCAGGTATGGCATGTTTGGGGAGATCTGTTTGGTTTTCAGTTCTTTTAAATATTTTCTTTTGTGCTTGCTACTTTCTGAAATACTGCAGGATTATTTCTGTGATTTGGGAAAAGCTATAGGAATTGGAAAATGTAGTCTGGGGTAGTAAAAGAATTGTGACTTTATTCACCTGTCTGTCATGGAAATTTATTGTGTCAAAGTAACTGAGTGTGAGTGTTGTCACATGGTTCAATTCTAAAAATCCACTAATATTAAAGTTGTGAAAATCTAGCAGGATTAGACTGTAATTTGTTAAGATTCTTGTCTGTTGACAGAAAAAAGAAACACCATGAAAAAAAATTGTTAGAGACAACAGGTGGCTGTACTGACTCTATACACAGAGAAAGTTCTGATGGCTCGGGCACTGGGTTTTAGCTTTTCTGAAATAAGATGATCTGTTTTACAGAACTACAAGAAGCCGGCCTTCTGCCACTACAGTCAGAGATACCATGGCAGGAAGAAAAACATGGGGGATACAGCCATAAGAAAAAGAAAAAGCCTTGTAAAGAACATGGTAAACATAACAAAGATCACGAGCATCACAGAAAGACAAGGAAGTCCCAGGCAGACAAACATAGAGCAAAGAAACACAGAAGAGATGTTGATAGGGGCCACAAGATGGAGGAAGACTTCCCTAGGGGGTATGAAAAGCAGACATCTAAGGGCCGCAAAAAACATCACAAGTCCATTTTCCAGGCACATGGCAGCAAGACAGAGTATGCCCAGGAGTTTCTGGAAGCTGCTAAAAGGAAGAAGAAAAGGAAAAAACAGAAAGATGCTGGTCCTGACATCGATGAGAATTTATTCCTCATAAAACAGAGGAGGAAAAAGTCTAAACAGAAATCCTTCTGCTGATGAGGAAGTAGATGGGCAGCACTGCTGTTTACTAGCTCTGGCTCTGCCTGTTGTTTATTTTTGTCCCTCTTTAAAAAACAAATTAAAATATGTCTGAATCTGGGTGGCCATGCCCAGGTACAAGTCACACGAGAAGCATCCATCTCTGTTCCCAAAAGGGATGCTTTGTCTGTCGTGAACTGTTCACTTGATAGCGGGGGTTTAACGCTCATGTCTGGAATGACTCACTTTTCAGCAATCCCAGGGTAGGCTGTAATTTTATTTTGTTTGCTTCTAATGGGAGGGGGTGGGGAGGAGGAAGGGTGCTCATGCAGGGTTTGGTAGGCTTTCTTTCTTTACTGGTGAGATATTGCTTTACCCGTCAGAGCAGGATCTGCTTCTCAGCAGTGCAATCCGTCAGACCTGATGCTGCAGAGAGGCTTTCGCATTAGGGGGAGTCAGTGCAGACATGGGGATATGGATGTTCTCCTCAGTCACTCAGTCCCCTCCAACGCACAGCTGAGTACGTTCTCAGCACTCCAGTTCTGTCCCTCCTGAAAAGGTTCTGTGAACTTGTAGCCTCGCAGTTTGGGATATGCCAGTCCCCGCTTCACAGTGCGATGCCAGAAGTCTACCACCATCAGTGCCACAGAACTGGGTGCCAAGCACAGGTGAGGTCTGAGTGAGCCCATTCCCTGTCGGTGCTGACTAGTCAGCACAGCAGGAGAAAGCAGCTGAGAAAAGAGAACAGAGTTTACATTTCAAATATGTCCTTGCTCCCCTTGGTGTGAAAGTTGTTTCTGCAGAAATGAGAGCAGAGCATGAAAAGTGTATTTGATTCCAGACATAAATGTGCTAAAATTTAGTAATTTAATTTTTTTAAGACAGTTATTTTTGTACTCTGGAGTTGAACAGTTATGTTGTTAAAAGCTTTGTAACAGTAAATGTTTGATCAAATTAATAATCCAAATAAACCTTTACATGAGAGATATCCAATAAATGTTGGTTTGTTCTAGGTTGTCTTGCATTGGCAAGCAGAACTACCTAAGACGGTATCTGCTTCTCTTTCTTGATGTGGAAATACATCATCCTTGACAAGAGATCTTCTGGTTTCCAATAAGATATGACCTATCCGTTACTGATGTATGACGTGTACATACATCATGTATGACACCACTTTTGCTAATCAAGAGATAGTAACTAACAGCACATTTTCACAAACGTACATGTCATGTCTTACTGCTTACTAAGAAATGGGCCTGTGGCTACTCTTGTGTTTCAAAATCGGCAGGAATTTGTAACTTGTACAAATGCAAGGCTGTGTCTGAGGAGGAGACAGCTGAAGGGTAACTACACTAGAAAAAAACGGCATCAGTCTTTCTGCCAGTGCTATTTCACACTCCTTGAATTCATCAGCTTTTTTTATGGCAAGGTCCCCACCAAAAACACTAGAACTTCAGTGGCTGTATCAATTCCTCTGAGGTGTTTGGAGCAGACCTAAACTTACATAATACTTGGGAAGCTAATGCCCAATTTTGCCTAAGTGCATCCTACTTGGCAACTGAAATTTATTTTTGCTTAAATTCATCCATTACTTGATTGAAAACTTTGTTTTGTTATTTAAAAAATAAATCACATTTAGCCCTAATTTAAAAAAATGAATAAATCCACTCCTAATAAGACTTGCCCCGAACGTTGAAACTCAACCCATCTGTTGTGTTTTGCATCCCTTTTTACTTATGAGTTCACTGTTGCATTTGAACAGAAGTCTCCAGCAGCCTTGAACTATAACAGCATGCAGACTGGTAGGTAGGGAAGAAGAGTTGTTTTGGATTAAGTATTGAGGTCAACTCCAACTTTTCCGATGCGTCAGTTTAATGACATGGCCAGCAAAGTCATCTTGAGGTGAGTAAAAGCTCAGGAGACTCTGTCCTTGCAATTCTGTCCCCTAGCACTTCTTTGGACAGAAGTGTAGGGTATTCCCACAGAACATTGCATATTACTGGTTGTTCTGCCTCCAGAGATAATTAGAAAACACCTAAGTATGAAAACAGAGAATGGAGAACTGCCCTTAGCTGTGGTTAGGTATATTTTAGGGAATCCCCCAGAATTATTTTCTTTACTGTTTTTGAAGCAAGTATTCGGTAGTGTTTTTGGTTGGTTGCTTGCTTGCTTGCTTGGTTGATTTGGCTTGGCTTGCTTTTGGTCTAAGGTAAAAATGACTCAGTGAAATTGTGGCCTCATCATTCTATTCGCTGTACAATATTGTGTCCATGCTCTGGAGGCTTTTCAGGTCCACCATGAAGAACGTCAAGAACAGGGAGTTTTCTGTTTCATTCCCACAAAACTGAAGCAGCTGTGTTTCCAACAGTGTCCAAGAGACAGAGGAGAAACTGGCAAACTGCAATAGCATCTAAGAGAGGGAGATGAGTCCTCAGTCTGTTTATGACGGGCTTTACAGATGCTGTGTTGTGTGCTGTAAAAGGAAGCAGACAGTCACTGTTAACCATGAACACCAGAGGAATGTTTCTCTGGGACTCACGTGGGTAGCATGCCTCTTGAGACATTCCCCGTGGAGATCTCTGAGTCTCTGCCTCTGAATGCCCTCACTCTGATATTCAGTTCCTCATTTGCTAAGAAAGCTACTAGGAAGTGCAATGTACGCTTCATCCAGGCATTATGCAATGGACGATTGTGCTGATGTGTTAGCAGTGTCAGAGGTGACTGGCAATGGAACGATTTTACGTGTTAAAAACACTCAACACTTTTATACTCAAAGTATAAAAGTATAAAAATATTAATACTGACATTCTAGTAATGAAGGCTGCTATACACATTCTTTTTTTCTTTGTATATTTATGTTTAAATAATTTGTAATTTAATTAATTGAGAAGAGCAACTGATGTCATCTACCTGGAGTTGTGCAAAGCATTTGATGCTGTCCCACTCAACATCCTTCTCTGTAAATTGCAGAGACATGAATGGACACGTCAGTGGATAAGGAATTGTCTGGATGCACAGACAATGTGATGATAGTGGAATAATTATAATTTATATATACAGTATACACTGACACACAGTATCATGGACAGCAGTGTGTTTAAGAGATATACCTGTACGTGTAGATGTCTTCAGGTTGCCAGTGTGCAATTCAAGGTGGTATTCTCATGTGAAATGACTGAGAGTGTTCTGTAACTCTTCCCTCTAAAATGAAGGTGTGTGGCTACTGTAACTGGAGTTAAATCAGCCAGGAGTCCATGCTGAGTTGTTTCTATGAGGTTAATTGACATGAGACCAGCAAGACCCCATGGGGTTTTGAAGTAGGAGCTGAACAAACATGCATGTAAGCTGGAGAAGACAGATCACTGAGGAAGCAGGTGAGTGGAGGGACTGCTGAGAACCCTTTCTTTAGTAATCTCTGAGCAGATGGATCCTGCAGCAGTGTCCTGCTCTGCCGCTGGGCAGAGTGGGGTCAGACATGTCCATGGCCAGACACTACTGGAATTGACAGTAGTAGAACCAAGACAGTTTACATCCCACCAGGTGTATTGGACCGTCATGCCTGCAATGACTGGTCTCCAACCTAGGTTAGCACTGGGGTGCCTCAAACTCATTTCCTTACATATCATAATCAGTGTATTGAGCTCCAGCTTTGAAACCTTCCCTCACACTGAGCGCTGGAGCGTTATTACATGTGGAAGAATGTAATAAGAAGGATTTGTCTCCTGCTAGCCAGCAGGACTGCAGCAGGAACCATGCTGCAGGAGAGGGATGTGTTGGATGCTGCATACACCCAGCCATGAGTGACTCTGTTCCCCACTCCCAGTCAATAAACCCTATGTGAACAGGGAAGGAAATCATCTTTGCTTACCTGCTGGAGAACCCATACTATGTGTCCGGGCTATGTGCTTGGCTTTTTGTGGCCATGCTGCAGGGTTCCACTCATAGGTCTCTTCCTTGTGCTACTTGAAACAAAATAGTTTGCATTCAGCACCAGCAGGCTGTCACCGGTAATCCGTGCCTCCCATAAGTATCAGTAGGTTTTCTGTCAAACAACAAATTAATTTTACAGAACTTAGTGCAAAAATAATAAAGTTGAAAATGTTTTTGGATTAGATGAAAAGGACACAATAAGGAACATGACAAAAAGGGTTGATGTATTTTCCACCACCAAAATATTGCTACATTAGGGACTAGTGAAAGGAAAGCACAGTATTAAAATCCCGTTCTGTACCAGGTGACTTGAAGATGGGGCTACTTTCATGAAGCTCCATGTTATCCTATTAAACTAAAATGTACTTCAGCCTGTCATTCCTCCCACCTGCTATTTTTCCCCTCCTTAAAGGAACTGTCACTCTTTACTCCAGAGATGCCTGGGAGTGAAAAACATACTTATCCCTGGAGAGGATAGTGTATCAAGGTCACAGTTGATGTGCACTGGTAAAGCAGCGTAAGGAAACCTACATTGCGTGAATAAATAAATGGCAGTAGCTCAGCCCAGACTGCATGGAGGAGACGAGATGGATGGATCAAAAGGTCAGAGTCTTGTTCAGTAATGGGGGCAGTTGTCCCAGGAGTGAAGAGGGGAGAAGAGAGTATTTGGTGTATCGTTTGTTGCAGTCACTGCACAGCAACGTTGAAGAAGGAAGAAGTACTGTGATTTGAGGTGCACATCTCCACAGGATACTTGTGAGCATTAGAAAGTAATTAAATGTGTCTTTGTTGTAAGACTTCTTCCCATGTTGAAAGGCTTGTAATGACATCTCCCCAGAGCCTCCTCTTCTCCAGGCTGAACAACTCCAGCTCTCTCAGCCTGTCTTTTTAGGAAAGACGCTCCAGCCCTTCTTCATCTCTGTGGCCCTCCTCAAGACTCTCTCTAACAGGTCCATGTCCTGATGGTATTGGGGGCCCCAGAGCTGAGCGCAGGGCTCCAGGTGGGACCTCCTGAGAGCAGAGCAGAGGGGGACAATCCCCTCCCTCGCCCTGCTGCCCATCCTGCTGTTGGTGCAGCCCAGGGTACGGGTGGCTTTCTGGGCTGCCAGCACACATTGCCTGTTCATACCTGATTTTGCAGTATTGCTAAGTCATTCTCTGCTGGACTGTTCTCCATCAGTTCACCATCCAGTGAGACTGTTTGCCCCTGGGAGGTCCCTGCATCAAAGCTTTGACTCTTGAGGTAGTTGCAGCACCAGGGTATCACAGCAAGGAGATGTGTCCCAGCCCTGCCCAGGCAGAGACTGCAGTGTGGAGCGGTGGGGCTGAATGTCCTGATGTTGCCCAGATGGATGCTGAGGAAGAATGCTGGCCCCCTCCCAGGCTGGTGGGATGAGAAGGGAGGGATTATCTCCCTGTTTTATTGCTGCAGAGCCAGAGCCTGGACAGATGCTTGCGCCCAAGGCCTGTCTGCACAGCCAGGAGCCAAGAGCAGACACGGCCCCAGCCTCTGTTAATACCATCACACGGGCAAGAGCTACACCTCTGGCTCTGCAGACTTGGCTGAGCATGCAGAGCTTTCAGTTCTCCATCTCGGCCAAGAAGTAGTATTTTTCTGCAAGTGATTTACATGGCATTATGGGGCTTTGCTGTGCCTTGCAATGGAGCTCCCTGGCTTTGGTCTTCTTCATTAAACATAGCTCAGAGGACAATGGTGCCTCCCCGCTCTAGAAACCCTAAGACCTATTTGTCTGAATAACACTTCATTTTGTTTTCAGACTAGCCAAAAAAGAAATGGAAAAGGGCTATTTCCCACCAGAGCACAGCAGGACGGGTAAAAGCCATGCTGTTTGAGGACTATTTTCTCACTATGGCACAAGAAGTGGATCTGCTGCACTGCTTTGGTCCTTCTAAGGCCTACATGCTTAATCCCCCCCTCAGAGGCAGCAGAGTTGGGGTCTGGGTCAGAGATTTTCATCTTCCTCACCCATTCCTTGCAGATGATCTTCCAAACACCCTCACCTGCCTCTCTTACTACATGGAGAACAAGTCCTACGAGGAGCGGCTGAAGGAGCTGGGCTTGTTCAGCCTGGAGAAGAGGAGGCTCAGGGGTGACCTTATTGCTATGTATAAGTACATTAAAGGAGGCTGTAGAGAGGTGGGGGTTGGCCTGTTCTCCCACGTGCCTGGTGACAGGACGAGGGGGAATGGGCTTAAGTTGCGCCAGGGGAGTTTTAGGTTAGATGTTAGGAAGAACTTCTTTACTGAAAGGGTCGTTAGACACTGGAACGGGCTGCCCAGGGAGGTGGTGGAGTCACCATCCCTGGAAGTCTTCAAAAGACGTTTAGATGTAGAGCTTAGGGATGTGGTTTAGTGGGGACTGTTAGCGTTAGGTTAGAGGTTGGACTCGATGATCTTGAGGTCTCTTCCAACCTAGAAATTCTGTGATTCTGTGTGATTCTGTGATTCTGTGAAATGTACTGCAGTGAGGGTGCAAAGAGCATGATCCAAAGCCAGCAAAGGGACTGTTCCTGATTTTAAAGGGGCTGAATTTAGCTCACACTGTGTGCATCTGCTTGGAAGATTATTTGAGGAGTGAGTTGAAATGATAATCCGAATTAAAGATTGTCCCCTCTTTTGCTTCAGTGCAAGCATCACCCAACATTACGGAGGACAGTCAGCTGCTTTATGGATCTTTGGCAGAATGAGGGCAGGCCATGGGTTTGTGGTTATTATTACTATTGTTATTGTTATTTTTCTTGTTATTATTAACAATATTAACGATAACAATAATAATAATAACCAGCATATTTTATTATCTACAATTTCCAGCACCTAGCATAGCTGATAGCTGCACAGAATTTCTAGAACTACAGTAGAATTACTAGTTACACAGGTTTTTCAGTCCCCTGGACCCCTGCAGATTGGGTCAAAATCTTATCAACCGGTGCAAGATACAAGCATAACCTAGACTCGGGATTTACATAGAAGAACAGGAGTCACTCAGTCACTGCTCAGAGGAAGAAGACAACAGCGGAGGTGCCCCTGCCCACTGAGGGACCACAGGTTTTGCCACCCAGCAGCAGCTCCAGTTTAAGACCCCCTTAGGGCTGGTAGCTGCCTGCCTCTATAGACAGCACTCCTGGTGCCGTTACACTTCCCACTCCCAGGACCAGTGTCACCATCTCCTGGCAACCCCGCATGTGGGCCTTGGCACCGCTGGTGGGCCCAAGAACCCTGTCAGGGTGTGCTCCCCATACCTCCTGTTGGCTCAGGACCTGCATCTTGATAATGCTAATGCCCTGTCACTCTAACAGGGGGCATCCCCACAGCCTAAAGCCAGAGAGGGGGAGAGAGAAGGGGGCAGGGGTGTACGTTAACAGCCTGCTTTCATATTATGGATGTTTGCTTTATTGGCAGGCATGCTAACCACACGGCTGGTGTCAGGAGCAGGGTTACTGGTGATGCAAGCCTTCTCAGGTGTCCTCTGGGTGGGAGCCTCTCTGTTCAGGAGCTATTAAACAAGGCAAAATACCACACTTCAAGCTAACAAACGAGTGAGGGAAGCTGCCCACATTGATGAGGCTGCTCAATGAATTGCTGCTACCATTGTAATTGGATGCAGTTTCTAAAGCAATGCTAAAGCAAGAGGAGTAACATCATCATGAAAGCCTGTCTCCAGCACTGTGACTTCCTAATCACTAGGTGCTCTAAAAATTCATCTTTATCATGTTCTTTAGGGCTTAGGAAGAACATAAGCTCTAAGAAACCCACTGTATGAGAAATTCAGTACATGCTGAAGCAGGCCAAACAAAGCTTTTATCCTTCCCGTCCTCTTTGCTTGCATGTTAAGAGGTTTCTATTGAACTCCTGGTGGATTTTCTATGCACTATGGTTTTTCATTTTGTCTTACAATTTTTCCTTTAATGATTTACTTTCAACAAAAGAACAAAGTCAACATCAAGCTATAAAATAATAGCAGTATATTTTTAAAAACACATCCACACGTTCTGCACTTTTAAAATTTTAAAAATATGTTTGAAAGGCAAAGGTGTCACTACCTAAACTGCATGCTGTGTGACGATTATACCCCTCCGCAGCACTGTTGGAGTGCTGACTTGATACCTAAAAAGTCATACTTCTTTGTCTTTCACATGGATGAGGAAAAGCCACAGGAAGTCAGATTAACGCTTAACCTGTGAGTGCCCTGACAGGTAAATGTACTCACAGCAGTGTGGGTGCCTGAGGAACTTCCAGAGGAGTGCCAGTGCTGCTCCATCGCTACAGAAGACTGAACCAAGAAGACAAAGGCTAGTGGCTGCACATCACCTCTGCTTGTGTCCTCTGGCATGGATGAAGATGTCCTGGAGAGGGAAAGAAAGACTCATTGCATGGGCATAGTCTTCCCAAGCCCCTTGCCGTAACAGGGATTCACCATCTGCAGCTTGCACAGCTCACCAAACAGTTTGCCTCTCCCTCAGCAGTGCTTCCCAGGTAGGAGAACCACCGCAGCAGTGGGAAAACCAGCAGTGGCACAAAAAGCCCCACAGCCAGCTGGAGGGGTAACCTTGGCAAAGCAGAAACCTGCTTAGTCCATCTCACAGAGACCATGGCACAGCTGTGCATCCCCCCTGGCTTCCAGCTGCGTGTGCTTGGGGCACAGGCAGTGCCAACTGAGAGCATGTGGGCCCCTGGCTCTGCACCACCACCCAGCTGGCCTGGGTTTTGTCTCTTGGCCCCACGTAATGCTTGGCTGTGTTCACTGGTAGAGAAGCCGACTTTCAGATAGTTACAACTGGCTGGGGCACTGTGAGGCACGACAGCCAGTAATTACACTTCTTTGCATTGCAAAATGATTATTAGCAACTCAGTTCATTATCAAAGCAAATTTAATTTTTCAATGTAAAGGAAGCAGTTGTATTCATAAAGGAAACACTGTTTATATAGCCAGAAAAAAATTAATTCATGACAAATGTAAGGAAAATTAATAGTCTTTAACCACGACAATATTTGACTGTGTCTAATTGTGCTTTGCCACTTAAAGTACACTATCACCTTTATGAAGTCCTGACAGAGATTCTTGCAGAAGCATTTTACAGTTCTGATGAAACCACATTTAAACATTTTTTTTTTTAATTAACCTTGTACCAGTCTGGTCAAATCATATAAAAAATGTTGTGGAAACTCAGAATTCTCTAGCGTATTTGTGCATTGGCAGAGGCATTGTGTACATTCAGGGAGGTCTTGTCTAATCCAAACCTGTTCAGGCAGAAAAAGAGAAAAGGGAGAGGAGAAAACAACAAGGGCAGAATGGCCATGAAGAGCTCATGGGTGTAAGTCCACAGTGGCAGAACCCTAGTTCTTAAAGAAGAGGCATACACGTGAGAAGGAGGAGGGTAAATCAGAACGGGAGGTTGCCAGCATAGGCGGTTGCTCTGCATTTCTCCTTGAATGGGAAGCCAAAGAACTGAGGTGAGCTGTGGTCCCAGTGGGCTCTGATGGCCCCAGACAGCAGGAGTCCCTGCACCTCTCTGGGGGCTCCTGCTGGCCCTGCTGTCTTCCCACTAAGCAGAGATGGACAGCAACACCACATCATCACAAAAGCCCAAGAGCAGAAGGACAGCTGCATCCTTCATGTGCAGAAATCCCAGGTTCAGACCCCCAAGGACAGGGTATCGGTTCGTTAATACATCCCCTGTTATGCTTGGGAGCAGGTCTGTCGGAGAAGCCAGTTACAATGCTCCCACTGGTCTCACTGGGTCAGTGTAGGTACTATGGCATTCTCCAACACTTTTCCACCAGATTACTTATCAGACCTCAGTGTGATTACAGTGACATGTAACTCTGAGCCAGCCCTGGGCCATACTTGCATTTCTACCTCTGTATTGTCTGCTGGCGGCCACTGCTGCCCAGTGCCTGAGCAGGACACCGCTTGCCTGGGTCTTCCTGGTGATGTGTTGATGCTGCCCATGCAGGGAAGACTCTGAGGCCTGCAAAGAGGAGCTCCAAAGCCGTACTCCGTGCCACTCCTGATGAAAGCTCTGGGAAGTCAGGACGGACCCCTCACTTTCCCTGTGGGATGAGGATGGTACAGAGAGAATACCTGCCCCCTGTGCTCTACCCTCACCCCACAGACAGTCCCAGCCTCCCACCTTGCCACCGTGCAGCTTGGCTCAGCTCTCCTCAGGACAGCTTGGAAACACGCCATCTTTTCAACTCAGCCTGCCAACTTGAAGCCAATTTGCATTGGATAATTATTTTCAATTAAGTGATAACCATCCTGTTCTGAACAGAAATAATCTTGTCCAAAGGCCAAACAGTTTATCCTGTCTCGGAGATGAGGCTGCAGCTTTGTGAAGGTGCACGTCAGTGTCAGTGCCGTTATCGTCTGCTGTGCTGAAGGGTACGGCCCCGTGCTCAGGGAGGGCTGCACAAAACCCCATGCGCTAATTCAGCCTTCTTAAAGTGGCCCACACTGGTAATTGGTTCACGCTCTGGGCCCTTCACAGGAGCTGCCTCTTCCACACAGCAAGCATGCAAGGTGACCCCTTCTGTTCCCTGGGCACTGCAAGGTGAATGTTCCTCTGAGGAGTCTGCGTGTTGACTTTCAATCTGTAGGTCAGCATTAATGCGAAAAGGCCAGGGAGAGGGTCTGCTGCCACCAAAACAGAGCATAGGCTGGGCTGCATGCCCTTCCCTCTGTGGGGTCAAGGGCACACCCTCTGCAAACCTTCCGTCAGTTAGAGAGTCTTTTTTGGGAGTCTTGCAGATCCAGCAATTCGGTTGACACTGGCCAAAGGATGTAATAGGCGCTAGGTGGGTTAGCAGCCAAGCAGGAAGACATGCAGAGGAAAAACCCAACGTCATACACCACTTTCCTCAAGGAAACAGGCAGACAACTCTGTCTGCAGTCCGCTGGGATTTCTGCGGGCCAGCAGAAGGGGCGAGAGGCTGGGCAGACATGACCCTGAGCAGCGTTGCCAGATGAGGCTGTGGCTCTGTGGCCACTCCATGGCTTCCCCCCATGCCCTCCCAGCCGTCGCTGCTGCCATCTGCACCAGCACAGTGGGGAAGGGGAGATGGGCAGGGGTTGTCCGGAGCCCAAGGCTCCTGTGCTGCGCTTTGCTTTTTGGAAGTTGTTGGAGGGTTTTTATTTATTTGTTTATTTTAATCCATCACAGCCCGGTCAGCTGGGAAGATTGGACTCCAAAGCTTCTGCAAGTGAAAAATAGCAAATCCAATATCTTTTTAGTGGTGTTTTTATATTCAAATTAGACATAATCTCCATGAATAAAATTACTGTTCCCAAAGGGATCATGCCCAATTTAAATGTATAAAATGTCATTAAAAGGGCACTGGCTTGCTATTAAAATTAAACGCCAGCAAACCCCCAATGTCCTTTGTATTACAGTTTTACAATTAACCCAGAGATGTTGGAAATAATAGTTTAGATGTACAGTCTGGTACTGTACAGTACAGTGCATTGTTTCTAAGGCTGCAGCCAGACCACTGCTAGAAACATCACCACATCGGAGTGGGGCATGACAGGGCCTGACGAAACTCCATGAAATCACAGAATGACAGAATTTCTAGGTTGGAAGAGACCTCAAGATCATCGAGTCCAACCTCTGACCTAACGCTAACAGTCCCCACTAAACCATATCCCTAAGCTCTACATCTAAACGTCTTTTAAAGACCTCCAGGGATGGTGACTCTACCACTTCCCTGGGCAGCCCGTTCCAATGTCTAACAACCCTTTCGGTAAAGAAGTTCTTCCTCAGATCCAACCTAAAACTCCCCTGGCGCAACTTTAGCCCATTCCCCCTGGTCCTGTCACCAGGCACGTGGGAGAACAGACCAACCCCCACCTCGCTACAGCCTCCTTTAAGGTCCCTGTAGAGAGCGATAAGGTCGCCCCTGAGCCTCCTCTTCTCCAGGCTGAACAAGCCCAGCTCCTTCAGCCGCTCCTCGTAGGACTTGTTCTCCAGACCCCTCACCAGCTTCGTCGCCCATCTCTGGACAAATGGAGCGTCCTTTGTCCTGGAAGCAGGTCCAGTGCCACCCCCTGCCCTTGGATTCTACTGCTGGGGTGGTCCCATCCAGGGCAAACTGACAGAGCAATGCCACAGCTGGCACAAACTTGCATCTCCCCAGGTATGGTGTCGCACACCCTCCCCTTTGGGGACAGGAAAGCTGCCCCGGCTCACACCAAGCAAAGGAAGCAGATCCCCTTCCTTAAAGTCTGGTCACCTCAAAAGCAAAATGATCTGGGGAAAGCATGAGGGATGGAGACCAGCACAAGCTGTGCATTGCAAGAGAAGATTGGGTTCAAAACCATCTGAGGAACCCAAACATACAAAACTCCACGGGACCCAACCTGATGCATCCCAGGGTCCTGAATGAATTAGGCTGATGCCATTGCTAAGCCACTCTCCATCATATTTGAAAACTCACGACAGCCAGGTGAAGTCCCCAGATAATGGAGAAAAGAGAATATCATACATATTTTTTAAAAGGGTAACAGGGAGGACCCTGGGAACTACCAGCCAGTCAGCCTCTTCTCAGTGCCCGGTAAAAGCATGGAACAAGTCCTCCTGGAAGGCAGGTCAAAGCATACGGAAGACCAGGAGGTGGTTAGAGATGGCCACCGTGGCTTCACAAAAGCCAAAACATGCCTGACTGCTCTAGTGGCTTTTTACAATGGACCGACTGCATCAGTGGACAAGGTAAGAGCAACTGGTACAGCATCTACCTGGACTTGTGCAGGGCCCTCGATACAATCCCCCACATTCATGCCTCTACATGGGAAAGAGATTATTCTGATGGATGGATTATAAGATGGATAAGGAATTGTCCAGGTGACTGCGTCCAAAGAGTCAAATGTTCGATGTTTAAATGGAAACCAGTAGCAAGTACTGTCCCTCAAGTGTCTGTGTTGCAACCGATGCTATGCAATATATTCATTAATAAAATAGATAGTGGGAATGTGTACATCCTCAACAAGTCTGCTGATGACACCAAGCTGAGCAATGCAGTTGATATCCTGGTGGGAAGGGATGCCATCCAGAGGGAGCTGGACAGGCTTGAGAAGTGGGACCATGTGTTCAACATGAAGTTCAACAAGGTCCTGCAAAGTGGGTCAGGGCAATCCCCAATATCAACAGAGTTGGTGAAGAATGGATTGGGTACAGCCCTGTGGAGAATGACTTGGAGGTACTGGTGGATGAAAACCTCAACATAGGTCATCAATGTGCACCTGTAGCCTAGAAAGCCAGCCATATAATGGACTTCAGCAAAAGCAGTGTAGCCAGCAGAGCAAGGGAGGGGATTGTCCTCCTCTTCTCTCCTGTTATGAGACCCTCCCTGCAGCCCTGTGCTCAGCTTTGGAGCTCCCAGCAAAAGAAGAACATGGACATATTGGAAGAAGTCCAGAGGAGGCCACAGAGATGATGAAGGGCTGGAGCACCTTTCCTATGAAGACAGGCTGAAGGAGTTGAGTTGTTCAGCTGGGAGAAGAGAAGGCTCCAGGG